CAAAGACAAAACTTTTATCATGTCATTTAATCTCCTTTGGCCATATGATTCATATTTGTTAGAAACTTGCAAGCTCCATGAAATAATCACTTTTAAAAAACAGATAAGCACTCATCTCTTTCCACACATCTGATGTATGCAAATATACAATTGAATGCATAAATACATGCAAATCATTATAATAGAATTTCTACCTATGGCACTTAGAGTAGGTATAGAGAAGAAGCTTAGAAACCATGCTAGAAATTTCAGTAATGATTGTTTGACCACAAGTACATCTTAGTTCTAAGTGAAGGTCCTTGGAAAACACTCAGGAGACCTTTGAAACGTAATGGTTTGCTCCAAGTATGTGCTTCATTGTTTGAGATAGAGCGGTGCCCTTTCCAAGTTAAAATTCTATCCTGTAAGCAATTAGTCCTTAGAACTCACCCTTTCCATCTTTTTCATGGGAGGGACGAGAGAGATCATTAGTCTCATAGATAGTAGAGAATATTTTATGTGCATTTTCAGGATAGCATTTCCTATTTATTTCTTTTACTTTTATCAAAGGTCTTCAAAATATCTCCATTGATTATTCTGACACCTGCTGGTGAGGCCAAAGTTGATTCCAGCCTTTTCCCTTCAACAACTCTGGAAAAAGGTTTTTATACATATGTCTGGGAACAATTAAGTGTTCATTTCCATCATCTTAGAAATATTAATAAACATCATAATAATTACTCCCACTTCACATAAACAGTTATTTGATTCTGTGAACATACACGTTGGCTTTAATTAAAAGATATCAGAGTCAGTACAATGACGGTGGTAAATAACAAATACAAGAAGAAATATACCAGCACCTTCATGACAAAACAAATAAAAATAGAAGAGTTAGAAGATTATGGCTTTGGTTTTATACATTTTCATAAAAGCACCAAATTTCTATCTTTTTAATAAATAAAAAGTAAATTTGATTAGCTATGATAGAAGCCTTACTACTGAATGTATATTTTTAAATTTGCCACTTTTTGCTCAGTATTAACTCGTGATTTGCTTCTAGTTTAAACTGAGTTCTGAAGCCTACACGTTTTATTTATTTATTTATTTTTTGGCAAGGATACAATAAAACTACTACATGATAAATCATACTGAAAGCTATTGCACCTGCAAGTATGTGCAATAAACAATATCAGCACCACTTTCTTAGGCTTTAGAAAACTCTCCAATGGTTTAAAAAATGTGCAAAAGTGATAACATATACAGTTCATGATGTCATTAGAAACTATTTAAAAGATGAAACATCTTAAGAATCAATTACCCCATTAACAATGCTATTGTAATAACCAGCAAGAAATAAAGAGCTTAGAGTCATTTAGGCATAAAAATCCACTAAACATGTTTTGTAGTGGCATTGAGTCACCATGCAATTTTGTTAGGCATTTATATTTTATTCCTTTATATTGCTATAATTTGATGAGTAGGAAATAAATATAGTTTATATGGACATTAACCTTAAGATATTTGATGAAAATCCAAGGTATTTTTAAATTGTAAAATAACCCTGAATTGGTCTTTAATTTTCATACTTTTCATACTAAATTTCCATTATATTCTTATCTTTTTTTAAAAATCATGTTATTTCAAAATACGAGGCTTTAATTTAAGGACGAGTTCAGAAATACATAAATTTGCCTTCTTAGGAAAACGTTAGTAACTTTAAGATCAAGGATGCATCTACACTGAAGGACACTTGGGTATAAACACCTGAATGGATAAGACTCAGCATGTATGGCAGAGTGTATAGGATTCGGTGGGGGCATAGAGGGAGGCATGGATAGGGGAGGGGTGTCTGGATTGGAGTGATAAGTGTATGAAATTTAAAAAGCTCAATAAAAAAATGAAAAAAGAAAGATCAAGGAAGGAAGAATGAACAACTTCATTTTACTCCACCATTGATTATTTTAAATATTTTCCACAATAATATACATTGCTAAGTAAAACACATTTCAATGCTAAGGAAGCAGTTAAGAAATAATCAGAACTTTATCAGTCCCAAAGGAGGAATTGTGTTTACCGTGGCATTGTACGGCTTAGCAAAGACTTTGCATTAGTATCAAACAATCATAGCATGGTACTTCATGTTCACTTAGCGCTATATCCAACCCAATATTTCAAAATTAATCTCAATGCTTCACTTTGAATCTGATGTTAGCACTTATACCTTAAAGCGTAAAGTTAATGGCCATGTGAATTAGGTGCTGAAGACACACAAAATCCCACAGAATCCTGTTATTTCAGCTTAAATGTTGCTGTGCTAATCACAGAAGCGAAGCAGAGTGTCATCTGGAGTGAGACTGTTCAAGCATTAATCTCTTCTCATGTAGATTTAACTAAAATCACCATTGATTAAAAGACAGAAATGCAACGTGATTCTCAGTATTTAGGGCACATCTAGACATTGTTAGATAGTGCCATTTGCTTAAAGACAGATACAAACTGCAGACACAGGGATAGATTGTATAAGATGTCATGTGATTGTTGCAACTGTATGCATGTTACTGAATTTGTTAGGGCAACCCTCAATGATGAATAATTTAGGAGTTAATAAAATATCCAATCTGATCCATTGGTTTAATTTTAAAATAAAGGCTTCTGATAAAAGGAATTACATATCACTATCAGATTCCAGGCTCTAATACATTTAAATTGTAACCCACACGTAGGGAAAACACTAATTCCTGTAAGACCTTAGGTGTCTTAAATAGCTAATGGGGGAAAGAGAGACAGTATAAAAATCGGTGTTGACACTAGCTCAGTAGTTTTCACAAAGTTTAATTGTTTGGGATTGTCAGGCAAGCTCTATTCTGCCTTCTGCAGAGATCAGGAATAAAATAAAAATGAGAGAAGTGCAAGTTTAACCACAGGAGCTTAATGCAAAACAATTTTCTTCTTTCCCAAAAGCTCTCGCCCTCCACCCACTGGGTAGCTTACAAGAGGAATCTATTGAAGAATCTGAGGAATAGGCTTTCTGAGCTTTGCCTAGAGGTCCAAAATGCAAAGCCCAGGCAACATCTCCTGTCGGTTTGGTAGGTGGCATAAGCAGTGCCCTCAGCGAGGGCATCTTCAAGCAAAAGCTCAGCTCAGGGCAGCTGGAACTCTCCTCGCCCCCGGATCCTATAACCAGGCGCCTGCAGGCAAGCAGGATCACTGAGTAGGTCCTCTGGCATCCTTGTTGCCCTTCACTTATGATAGGGAACAGATGGTGGAGGTGGTACAATGTATCTCTCTCTCTCTCTCTCTCTCTCTCTCTCTCTCTCTCTCTCTCTGTGTGTGTGTGTGTGTGTGTGTGTGTGTGTGTGTGTGTGTGTGTTTCGGGTGGGAAAGGAGGCGGGGAAGGAAGGAGGAGAGGGAAGTGCTGCGATTCTTCCTTTTCCTTCCTGCTAAGGCTGCAAAGTGCAGAAGGAATCCAAACAAGAAATAAAAGAATGGAAAATACTGGCTTTGGGGACGTTTTCTTTTCCTTAAGCTGGGGACTAGGCAAGCAACGCGAGAATTATTTCCATTTGCTAACCTTCAGTGAGGTTGTGGGGTAGTGTCTGAGGGTAACTATCAGGGCAGTTGGACAAATATAGTCGAAACAGGAACCCACACTCACGCCTACATCCCAAGAAAAACAGCCACATTCTTGGGGGAGCAAGGAAGACCTAGACAAGGTGCCGTCTCGGATTCCAGCAGGCTGGGAGGAGAGGGCATCTGGATCACAGCAACACTTGGCTTCCAGGGCAGTCACCTAAGAGGATCTAAAGCATATAGGTGGTGCATGGTGGATCATGTAGAATATCCACTCAGTGTCTAATCCCAAATGGATTTGAATCAACGCATTTTTATTCCAACTACTTCTCTAGACCCACAGTGTTTTAAAGCTGTATAGTTCGATCTAGAACTCCACTTGAAGCTGTCTGTGGAGGATTTCCTTAGCTGCGGATGCCTCAGAAGGGACCGCCGGTTTCAGGGAGACCAGATAGGGCACAGCTCCCCAACACCTCTTTGAACCCTTTCTTCCTGCTGGACTCCTCCCTGGCGCTAACTCAGCCCCTGTCAGCTAGCTTCTGGACCAAGGTCGAGACCAGAATTTGTACTGACAAGTCTTACCTCTCAGAGGACCAGAAAGTCACCTAAGCAACTCAGCAGGGGACTCACGGGACTTCTGTGTTACTATCATTATTATTCTTTTAAAAATTGATTAGTTTTGTTTCCTTGTTCCCTATTTTCATGCAAGTCATGAAAGGCACAGTTGGACCAGTTCTAACAACTTTTCGGCTCCTGGGTCAGGGGCGCGAGGTTGGCGATCACCGCACTGCTGTTACCAAGAGTTATACTCTCACCCAGAGGAAGTACAGGCAAAGCTCAGGTCCCCTGGGGTTAGAAGAAAAGCGGTTCCTGGTAATTGATGCCTTGCATTCAGAAGGAGGAACAGAGAGAAAGCCGGTGACTTTGTACACCCTACTCCATCTCATCCATAGTCCGAACTCTCAATCTAAGGTTTGCAGACCACTCAGCCCCCGCCCTGCGTCAGAGTCCAGCATCCAGGAGCCCAGCGCCATACCATTACCCAGACTCTTCCCCTCTTCCTGCATCTATAGATGATTGCCAGGCACACTGGTCCCCACCAAGCCCCCCATCACAGCCGGGTTCTGTGTGTCCCGAGCCAGCATCATCCACACATTTGCTAGTCATGTGTCGAGTGACAGCTAGAATGGCTGATTTTGAGAAACACCCACCACCCCTCAATCTTCTTTTCCTAGATCGCACTGCCCTTCCAGCACAAACCGGAGCACTCCACTCGGACTTTGTTAGCACTTTCTCAGGGCATCCAGGGCGCGTCGCCTCCTCCGAGCCGCCCGCGGCGCTCGCCCTCTGGGACGCGCAAGGAGGACCTACTCTGGCCACCTGAGAGGTTTTTCCCAAGGGACTTCCCACCCGTCCGGAATTCAACGACCCAGGCCCTGCCACCTCACCTTTGCCGAACTGGGGTACACCGAGGCTGAGACCAACCAAGAGCCAAGCTGCTACCAAGCGCTTCATGATCCGGTCCTCCAGACGCGACCCCGGCTGGGCACAGTGGCGAGGTGGCACCGCAGGACAGCAGTAGACCCCGCCTCTGTCACAGAATTCTAGAAGATGTCTTCTTCCCTCAGCGCTTTCTCAAATTCTTGGAGAGGGTAATAAAGAGTGATGGCCCGAGAGAAGGGGTCCTCCCCTTTTGCCTGCGCTCCGGTATGCGGAGGTGGGTGAGCTGAGGAGCTTCTGGGGCGCAGCCTGCGCTGCCGTGGGTCCTGGCCGAGGCGCGCCGGGCGGGGCGTGGGCTCCAGCCGAGGTTCCCGGACTCCCGGGATCGCGCACCGCGGAGCGGGCGGCGCACTGTGGGTGAAGCGCAGGGCTGGCGCTGCTCTCGCCGCGGAGGCTGCAAGGCTTCTGACTTGGAGAACAATGAAGCGTGAGCTGGCGGGGAGCTATCCGGCAGCCAAGAGCGCACTGTGTACAAACAGAGGCGGCGTGCCTGTGAGCCCGAGGCTATCAGGCTGGCTCAGTGCTCTGCGGGCGTCCGCCCCCTACCCGCCCT